ACTAAAAATGTCAAATCCAGTCTAAACAACTGGCTGACTGTGCAATCAACAATAAACTATGTAAATTTGAACCATAATGTTATTTTTTCTATTCTGATTATTCTTTCAGTAGTGTACCTTGTCAGTTTCAAGCTTACGAAAATAATACGCTATTATATGCAAAAACTAATGTTTTTCCAAGACTTGGTGCACATGTGATGGGAAGTTAATAATGCTTGCATGTTTTATTTTCATGGCTGATATATTCTCTCAAATTCATACTATATATCCAGATAGATTTGTAAAACTATATTAAACACATAGCATTACAAACAGAAAATACTGTTTGGATTAGGATGGTGAAATTATAACCATTTTTCTCACTGTGTTCTACAGGAGAATGAACCAGTTTCTGAATATCCAGCAGTGATCGTAGAGCCAGTGCCATGTGCCAGAGTAGAACAAGGATATGCTGCACAGATTTTTGTTTATGATGATGAAACTTACCTGCTTCAAGATGTTGCAGAAGAACAAGAAATCGAGACTGAAACTGTGAAAACAGGTAGACCTTTAAATACTTTGCCACAACAGAAAGCCTTACTTGGTCTGTTTCACTGACATTTTAATTCCAGATTAAAATTTGCCCTGTTCCACTTAGTAGGAGCAATAAATAAAAACAAACAAAACCCTGTAAAGTTTAACACTTAATAAGTTCACCGTTATCTATGATACACCACACATCAACTCAATTATTTCCTGTATAATTTTTCAGTTTGTATTCCAAAACATAGATAGCTTCTACTGAGATAGTTGCTGTTTTTATTTTAGTAATAAAAACTATACCTGGTAGCATTTTGCTAAAACTAAATACATAATCAAACCTAATTTATTTGGATGTGGACTTAGATTTTTGAAATTATTTTGTTGTGTTATTATAATACTACTTACTTTATATTCCTAAGTAGCATGAAAGGAAAATATGAACTATTACCTTTTTTTAACAATAAGTGGTAGTCTGCAATTTCATAAAGAAAAGCTATAATTTCAAGATTTGCTAGACTTCTTTATTCAGGTTTTGCTCTGTAAGCAAGCCTTAAATGAATATATTAGTCAATGGCTTTAAACACATCATTGTTACTCATGGTTCAAATAAGCAATGATTGGCTGAATTTGCCTCTTGCAGAAAGTCATAAACTATGGTTTATAGACAAACAGTAGCTAGGTTCACATTGCATACTAAGTCGTACAAACTACAGTAGTTAAAACTAATCAAATCATATTACAGTAAAACCTCAATTTAACATGGCAAGGGGTGTCCTTTAAATCTGAAAATGTGTCAATATATATAATTTGCACAATTATATCACTAACATTCTTTGCTGATAAAACTCTGATCCAATGGACAAACCCTCAATTTAATGGGCAATAGTCTCTTAAATGGAGGTGACGTCTGGACAAAAAACTTGTCCATTGTATCTGAGGTCCATTAAGCTGAGGTTTTACCTCAGCTTCACTTAACAAGATGTGTATATGTACTCTGTGCATTGGTTAAAAGATTTATCTTTGCTAGTCTCAGTAACTTTAGCATGATTAGCTGGCAAGAACATACAATTAACCCTTCATTAAATGAACTTCACATATAATGGATATTTTTTTTAATTCTCCCCAATTTAACAGACTGTCAGGTTTCATTGCAAACAATGCAATTTACAATAATTTACATTAGTTACATCAATTTGGTAGTTATGCAAATGCCATAAACTGATAGGAAAGATTTAACAGACATTTAGATTACTTCCCCCTTCCCCCCATGGCAGGCTAAATTGAGGCTGTATTGAATTTTATGCAAAAGAATGTTCTGATACAATTTATGGAATTTTATTTTCTGTGTTTCTAGTTAAGATATATAAAGATATTGCTTTGTTTATAAGAGGTTTGTCTGGCTTGTAAATCATATTGTGACTTAATATGTTGAGATTATATATTAGCATTCATGGGATTTAGATCTGTGCTAATACAATATATATTTTAAAAAACTTCCTTTAAAGCCAGGCAATAGTCTTTTAATAACAGACTGTACTTCCAGATTTCAATTAAGTAGGTAATATGCAAAAATATTTGCGAATAATCAAACAAGTTCAATATTCCTCTTATAGATACTGTATAATTTAGAATATAAGACCCAAAAGGTCTGTCAATATATTTCGACTATTTTAAGGAGACCTGTGATTATGTAATTAGATCTTAAACTTCAACAAAAAGGCAGCCTTGGATTTTAAGATACTGAGAGTTAAAATAAGTGATGTCAATTCCTTAGTGTAAGATTTTGTATGAGTAATCTTATAAATTAGATATTCAAGACAGCCTTTGGGCTTCTCAAATATCACTACTCTGTGTCACATTGGAAATTGCTGATGAAACAGAGGAAACAGTATTTATATGCAAACATTATTTAAAGGAAAAAGGACCAAAAATCCTATGAGATATGAACAGAGGTTTTTTGAAGTGATGCTGGGCAGTTGGCCTTTATATGATTAAAATGTTAAAAAAGATATTTATCTCACTAAATTTCTGATCTGCGTTTATGCAAATTTAGTGTTGAAGGTAAGTATGAATGTTTCTTTTTCTAAACTAGGCTTTCTAAAAATAATATTTCAGTGTGAAACTACAGTACTTTAGTGTAATGAGTTATGGGTAGCCCTTGTTTAGCTACTACCACAATTGGGACTGGCAACTCAGTTGCTAAGTGATGCAGCTGCTAAGTGGAAAAATCAGTGACCACAATTGTGCTTACAATTTTGCTTCAGCTTTCCTTTTTTCTCCACTCCCCCACCCCTTGGAATGCTCATTCTGCGTTGGGATAATTAGCAAGAAGGGAATTAATGTTTGTATTTACATTCATTGGAGAGAAAGGGATTACAAGAAAGTAAGCAGGCATACAATGGGGAATACACCCCGAAAGGAATGCAGTAGCACTGGCCAGAGGCAAACAAAAGTGGAAATTGTGAAAGTGATTCAAGTCTTGTCAGTTACAGGCAGCGGCTGCCAGCCAGCTAATTAAGGTCACAGAGCTGAGCTTGTTAAATTGGGATTAGCACATTTTGGGGAAGTGCTACACTGGGGAAAAAAGCAGCTCAGGCAGAGATTGCTAGTTTAAGCAATCTCTCCACTCCGCAAGGGGGTAAAAGAAGAAAAAAAATTGTCAGATACAGGACAGTGTGTACTGACTGACTGTAATGGTAAACATGTGACAGAGAGAGACCATGCAAAGGTCCTAAATGTGCACCTTGGTTGCAAAGTTAGTTTTTCAGCACCATTGTAATTTCGAACAGTAACTGCATGAGGCAGATGGTAAGCAAGGTTTTCCTGTAATTAGCAGCACACTCCCCAAAGGTTTGTTGCTATTAAACTTTGACAGTAAATAGTATGTCGGCCTTTCAGATATAAAGTACAGGTAGTCCTCGAGTTACAACTGCAATTGGGACTGGGATTGCTATCATTAAGTGATGTCATAAAGGACAATGTCATGTGACCACATCGCTTAACAGCAGCAATCCAGGCAGTCCCAGTTGTCATAACTCAAGACATGTGGGTTGGGTCCTTAAGTGGGAAGCGGAGGGAGTCCCAGGTAAGGAGCAGGGGGCGCCATGTGAGTCAGAGAAGGGGTGCTTGGTGCAGCGTGAGCTCAGAAAGGCCAGGGAATGAGGGTGCAGGGTGCATGCGAGTGTAGGGAGGCTGAGGAAAGAGGGTGTGGCGTGTGTGGTGAGATCACAGGAAGACCGTGGAAAGAGGGCATGAAGGTGTTTGTGTGTGCGAGTGCAGGGAGGCCAAGGAAAGAGGGTGTGGGGTGGATGCGTGTGTGTGCGATCGCAGGGAGGCTGTGGGAAGAGGGTGCAGGGTACACGCATGCATGTAATCACAAGGAAGCTATGGAAAGAGGGCGCGGAGTACATGCATGCATGTGTGTGAGAGTAGGGAAGCAGGGAGGCCGAAGAAAGAGGGCACGGGGTGGGTGTGATTTCATGGAGGCCATAGAAAGTGGGCATGGGGTAAGTGCATGTGTGTGATTGCAGGGAGGCCGTGGAAAGGGTACAGGGTATGTGCATGTGTGCAATTGCAGGGAAGCCAAGGAAAGAGGGCGTGGGGTGTGTGCGAGCAAAGGGGGAAAGAAGGGTGCAGTGTGCACAAGCGAAGAAAGTCTGGTGTGGGGAGACTTATCCCAGTGACTTCCAACCTTCCTTGCTGGCTTCCTACTGATTTTGCTTGGGGGAGGCTGGCAGGGAAGGGTACAAATGACAGTCTTGTGACTGGGGATGATGCAACTGGTCGTAAGTGCAAGCTGGTTGCCAGATACCCAAACTTTGTTCATGTGACCACAGGCATGCTGTGGTTGGAAGTCCCTTCATTCAGTACCATTGTAACTTGGAATGGTCACTGAATGAATGGTCATAATTTGAGGACTACCTGTAAGTTTAGGTTTTGGATAAAAGCATCTTTTATTAATGATGGTACCTTTTACTTGGCTGAGAATCAAGTATATATGAAAAATATGCTAATATTTCAGTTAAGATAGAAACTTAGAATTTCAGTTTGAGATTCTTTGAACAGCATTCTTGTAAATATAAGTGTAGAGATTAATACTATTGACTAACTTTCTTCTTTTCTTTAGTATAGGAATTCTCAAAGTTTGCAGTACATGATCTCTTAGAATGATAAATGAATTTTTGTAACCCTCATCATGAATAGAATAAATAAGTAAATTATATAAAAGTGCTGTGATTAGTAGATAGTTTTGCAGACTGCTAGACTCCTGTTTTAGTACTTTGTGCTATGAGTGAAAATAAAATTTGTAGAAGTGCATTCATCTTTCTCTTTATTTAGTGAGGTGATCCAGAGTTCCTATGTAAGATAATTATTTTTATTGATTTCTCCTTTCTCTTATTCTGGAGAAAAGAGAGATCTCCTGAAACTATAGAGAGTGTAGGGAAAGTGGTAAAGGGCCCTGGATGAAGATGAATGAGCAAAAATTGTCTCCTCCTTTTCTCCAGTGGGGAGTTGCCACTGCGCCTCAGTTCCTTCATCAGAGCAAGATGCCATCTCTCCAAAATAGGGCCAATTTGGATCCAGCCCACTATACTCCACCATGAACAGTGTGTTCTAAGAAATATACATCTGAAATATTTCTATTATTTCCATGTAAACAATTTATTCAGGACTGAAACTTTCTTCTTAAGATGACATAAGATAGAATATTATTTTTTAAACACATTTAAATAAGTATGGTTTGATGTTTGAGGAGCTTCAGATGGGATGCAATTGTTGGAGTTTCCACTAATTCTTCCAGAATTTGTTATTTTCAGGACACCAAGGACAGGTGTTTTTTTTAGTTGATGATGGTATTAAATGTGTTTACTTTTCTGTGTTCTTTATATCACATCAGAAATCCTCCCTGTGGCACAAGTAAAGTCTTCTTTTAACTTTAAAATATTGTTGCCACAGGGAGGTAGAAGACCTTGATGAAACATGGATATTTAAACAGATCCTCCTTGACTTACCTTACGG